GAGAGAGAGAGAGAAAGAGAGAGAGAGAGAGAGGGAGAGGGAGAAAAGAGAGACAGAGGGCGGAAGGTGAGAGAGAGACCGCGGGAGAGGGAGAAAAGAGAGAGAGAGAGCGAAAGATGTGAGGGACACTGCGGGTCGGCATGGTCGACTATGTTTCCCCAGCGGCCGAGGTCGACGCGGCCTCAACCGCTGGTCGAGGCCACGGTTGCGGGCCCGAGGTCATGACCACGGCGACCGTGGGTTACCGCGGGCCGCCGCGGTCAATGGAAGGGGGGTATGGGGGAGCGGGGATCGCATCCCGACGGCGGGGGGGGAGTTCCAGCCCCCCGAAGTGAAAAAAAAAAAAAAAAAGTGCAAAGTGGGGGGGTGGTTTTGGAGGGGTACAGAGGGGCTCAAGAACAAATCCGCGACCCCCCCAAACTAAGTTTCACCAGCGCAAGGGTGTTGGCGGGGGGGTGCACTTCCACCGAAAACAAAAAAAAAAAAAATTCTTGTAGTTTGGACTTCATTTGTGGAGTCATTTTCAAAAATATGTTTTCAAGCCTTCAAGGGGCCATTGGGGGAGGGGACTCTGTGGAGGGTGGGGGGGGCCCTTGCCAAGGTTGTCAAAGGGTGTCATCGGGTGCGAGGGTCCATTGTAAGCACCATCAAGCAATGTCACACAACAACACACACAATGTCACACAATGTCACACACCACGATTAAGCACCATACAATGGCATACAAGAGCATGTTGGGTAGATCGAGGGAGAGGGTTTCATGAGCACATAGACGGGAGATGAGTCAATGAAGACTGAAGAACCAAGTGCCCTGGCAAGGCCTGCATGTGTCAATACACCAAAAATACCAAGTCTCCTAACTACAGATAACATCACATCGCCCCAAAGAATGCATCCAACAAACAAAATAACTACCTGACTGCGTCCATGTCGACAAACACCTGCTGACAATACGAGCCCGTGATAAAATACAACATGCCTGCTCCACCAACACCGGGCAGGTTGGTGGCATATCAGCTACAAATAAAATACCAAAAAAAAAACCGTATGGACTCATGCACCTACCTAAGATACAAGATAAAATATAACATGCCTACTCCTTCTGCACCGGATAGATTGGTGGCATATCAGCTACAGATAAAAAAAAAAAAAAAACGTACAAACTCAAGCACCTACCTAAGATACAAGAACATAAAGGGACCCCGAAACAACCAAGGTGAAGTAACGTACAAGTGTCTAACTCCTCCCGCTACGCCTCGCACGAGTCTCGTGATGTGATGCGTCTGATCCGCTCGCAAAAGGTGCACTCTCTCCCCGCCTACGTGTCACTCTCTCTTCGTGTCGAGGTGCGTCGTCCGGATGCCCTACTGAGGCTGTTGTGGCAGCCCTGGCAGCAGCAGCCGCCGCCGCTCTCCTAGCCCTCTCCCTCTGCCCGACAACATCGATGGGCTTTGTCGCCGTGTCCGCCTCATCCCTGTGTCCCTCCGTCTCCGCCAGCCCGTCACGCTCCCGAACCAAGTCGTCCAAACGCTGACGCTCGGCAGCGATCTGATTGTCCAGTCCACTGAGCGAGCCATGACGTCGCGCCCCTGCTGGCACATGTAAATCGCCCTCCTCGCCCGACGTGCAAAGGCAATCCTCGACGTCTATCATCAACCGCGCCTGGGGTCGGGAAAACCATCTGCCTCATCGTCTGTCTCTCGAACAATCCGAGGATACGTGCTGTCGCGTGCAGACTAGGTCCTCCCGCGTCTGCAGCTCCCGCCTCCCCCACATCTGCCCCCGCTGACGGGCCTCGTGCAAACAGCCCCTCTCCCCTGTCGTAGTCCCTCCTCACACGGTCTGTGACTCGTTTTCAAGACGACCACCCACTGCCTGATCCACCTCGACTGTCGGATGGCACTACAGTCAATGCGACACCGCCACTACGCACGTGTTGTGGTGATGGACACAACGACGATGGTCATGGAGAGTGCATGTCTCTCGCCGAACCCCCCCCACAAACAGTTGTCGCCTATGCATCCGAGGCCTCAGTGCATGACGACCCTGACCATCGAGGGCTCTCAGGCACCCACCTCGGGGGCGACACGAATCCATCTGTTGGTCGGCGGGGATCGCTCCTCCGACTTGTGTGATTGTAAGGGTCCTCCATCTTCGTGCGCTCCAGCTCCTCTGGATCAAGAACGGTTGTAGTGGACCCCCCCGGCCTGTCATCCATGCGGCAACCCGTGATACCGTCATCGGTGTAAAAAGTCGACGGGGGCCTCACAATCAACGCGAGGGATATGTCCCCCTCTACGTCCCGTGGTGGGGACAACTGATCCTCGTCGCCAATGTGGACTTCACCCTCCATAACAGGACTGTGTCGCGGAAAACTCTCACCAACCGCACGATCAGTGCGCAACCCTGCCTCCTCCTCCACAACAACATCCGCACTCTGCAACATGTCATGGGCTCCCTACAATCCACCACCCACATTTGTCATGCAAAGGCCAACGATCACTCTGTCGATGGCATCCTCGTCTGGGGCCTCTCCCCCGTCACCGTCGTGAGAGCCGTGAACTCCTGCGGGCTCATCACTGTCATCTCTGTGCAACCGACCCACTGTGTCACCCCCGGTCACAGGTGCACGCTCCCCCTCGATGCCACAATCGCTCTTAGGTTGCACACCAACGGCCGGTCCACCACTACCTATCTGCGATCCACCGGCAGGACGTGCTCCACCAGTCTCCAACTCACGCAACCTACGCTGCTCGGCTTCATATGCCTCTCTACCCTCCCACCTCGGCATAGATTGCAATCGTGCCTCCTCCTCACGATCAAGGCAGGCGTCCCTCTCCTCAGCCGTCTCCTCCCTCTATGTCTTATCTGCCCCACGTACGGACTCAGCTGCAGACCTATGACGCAAGGCAGGCGTGCAATGAAGAGGGCGTGTCGTGGGTGTCATGACGATCACAACCGTGTGGAGGAGTGACCAGAGTCCGCTCCCCAATGGGATGTCGTCAAGGTGTTGCGAGTGCGCACCGCCCTGCCCAGCCAACCTCCCCGATCGACGCAGCTCCTGTGACTGCACGAACGAGTGGTGGTTGGGATCAAACCGTGCATCCGTCAGACGCTCCTTCGTGTCAGGCTCGTCCTCTCCGCTGGAGTCAACCCTTACAACCCGCCGCCTCGGCAAAGGGGGTAGGTGTGCAGCCCTGGCACTCGATGGCTGCTCCGAACGACCCCTAGAACCCGCAGAGGCCCGCCGCTCTCCAACTCCCACTGTCCGGCCTAACCCATCGTCCTTGATGACCGATGTCCGAGGGGTTAGCCCGTCCGATCCTCCGCCGTACGTGAAATATACCTGCTCTTCGGTCCTGTCCCTCCCGGCGCAAGGTTCTCCGGGTCTGTCCAGTCGACCTCCCCAGCCTGTGCATCCTGAACAGTGGCGTCCTTTGCGGGAGGAGGCACATGGTCGTAATGCAGCAATGTGGCTTCCCTCTGCCCATAAACAACCGACACCTCTCGCGAAGGGGATGTGCCGTCACATACGAAGACATCAATCTGCCTCCTCTGCTCAACATCGCCGAAGGTCCCAATTGCTCTGACCCCCCATGCCGCCGGCTCCGGGCCGTCGTCCTCTTCATCCTTGCCAGTGGCCTCACGAGGTCTCTGGTCCTCGTGACTGTCCATGATCCACGACATGACATACCCACCACTGTGCTGCCTGCATGAATCCAGTTTGAGATTACTCGTAATCTCGACCAGTTGTGCCAGCTTGGCAAAACCAAGCTTGTTGTGCTTCGCCATCTGAATGCGCTCGTGCTCTGCCCAATTCCTCTCAGCAGGAGAGGCGGACGTCCGCATATGCATCACACGGATAGCGATGGCACTCAACTCTGTGTGGGCTCCCCCGTGGGCAAACCACCATGCCGCACAACAGGCCGTATCCTCGTCCCCGTCGCAATCCCGGGCCTCGGCATCGGACAGCAACCGATCACCCCAATCGCCGCTCCGTAAGTGGAAACGACGTATCTGCTCACACAAGACGAGGTAATCTCTGCCTGTCCAATCCCCCCCCGTCTGTGTAAGTAGAAACCGATCGCACTCCTGTACAACCACCGCGTCCTCCGTTGTCGTGTGGAGGGACTCGTAGTACCTCATGGACCATCGTCAGGGGTTGAGGAGATGGGCAGCGGCGTGGGCAGGCTCCAGAAGATGCATGAGACACATCTCAACCTCTCGCATACACGGAGTCAGAAGCTCCGGCGGGACCGTCGACATCCGCATCAGCCGAACGAGATGCTGACTCCACTTGTACACAATGGACATCATCATCCCTCCTATGTCCATCCGCCTTAAAAGCTGATGGACAGGCTCCATCACAAGGATGATAAACTCCACCTGATGCCAGAACTGGCCATCACGAATCAAGAGGCGCACCCACCGGGCCTCAAGAAGGAGCCTCCGCTCCCACAGAATGCTAGCCCATGCATTGTTATGCAACATGGACTCCAATGTGTCGTGTCTCCCTGCCAAACATGTCAACATAAAAAAAAATGATGCAAAACGTGTTTCGACCGGCTGGATCAGTGAGACGCAAGGGCTCTTCCTCTTGTAAAGGGCAAGGGCCGCTCCATGCGATTTGATGAACCGCACCAAAGCTCGAGTTGGAATGATGGTGCCCCTGGCCCACTCTTCCCGCGTCCCAATGTCTAACAACATCAGGATGCAAACGTGGGTGGAGCAGGGGAGCCACGTGATGCGCCTGACGTCGGGGTCGGGGTCCTGTGCAAGCAATTGGACACCGCAGCATAGTTGCTTGCGGAGTCAGTGCAAAAAGCGATGATATCCTTCGCAGGGAAGGAGGTGATAATAGCCCTCCACCTGCGATAGACAATGACCCCGGTCTCGGGGACTGCACCATCACGGCAGATGGTGGCGTATAGTAGTGCGCCATTCGCGCCAACTGCAAGGAAGTTCACGATGGGTCGTGCATCGCGAGACTTCATGCCGTCTGACAACATGGTCGCGCCACCGTGCAAAAAAACCTCTCGGACCTCTCTAAGCAAGGTCGCGGCGACCTTCGCCCTTTGCGAAGGCACCCCCGGACCGCCGATTTCCTTGAACGATGGAAGTCGCTTCCGCACACCTCGAGGCATCTCTTCGGCTGCCTTCCTAACCTCCCTCCAAGGCGGTCTCCTGAAGGCACTGAACGCAATGTCTGCATCGTACACCCACTGGAGAAACTTGTCGCAGAAGTGTGACTATTTCTACGCGTCGTAAACCTCATCGATCCGGCTCTGTCGGACCCTCTTCCCCGACAAAGATGGAACATCATCGATGTCCACCGCCTTCCTCTTCCCTGTGTCCTTCCACCCTGCCCCGCGTGACGTCAAGACCACCTCCTCGCCTTCCAAGTCCACGCCGCCTAACAAACCGCCCCCGTCGTGCCCATGCCCTCTCATGTCACGCTCCTCCACCTCGTCGAGGACGTCTTGCACCTCATCCCTGGGTGCAGCGGATGACGGAGCTCATGTCCGGGAAAGGCCCACAACTGCTCGTGCGTTCTTGATCCCCTTGTCTTCCATGTACGACAGGATGGACGCGACGTGTTCATCTGCGAATACATAGTGTGTGCCAATCCATATGTCTACAAGCACATCCATCATTGTCGCATGACATTTCTTCTCCTGAGTGAAATGTCGTGAGGCCTTCAACACATACCCCTGCCATATATGCTTGCAGAGGTTGCATCTGAGCTTCCGGTCCCTGTGCATTTTGTCCCACGTCCCGACCCTCTACCCCTGCATCACGTATTTCGACACGCAAGACACCGTCCTTAATTTGGCCATGTCAGCGTCCGACACGGGGACGAACGCACTTCCCCAAGACCCTCTTTCCCCCTGACTCATTGTTCTGAACCATTGACCAACGCAAACCCTTTGTGCTGTCTACAGATGTCCTCCTCTCTTGAACCGCGGTCACGATCGGGGTCGTGCGGTCTGACTTGCGACTGCGCGGTCAGGCCCAAGGTATCGTTGGCGGCTCGGGGGCCCGTCTCGATGCCGCTTGCGCGAGGGGCGCTGACCACATCCACGTCCGCCGCCTGGTGGCCCCGGCCCCGACCGCGACACCGACCACACACACACACACACACACACACACACACACAATCAATCACGCCGCGCTGACCGCGTCAATGTCCCACGTCGACGTCGCGCGGTCGTGAAGTCGGCCAGGTGTGAGAGAGAGAGAGAGAGAGAGAGAGAGAGAGAGAGAGAGAGAGAGAGAGAGAGAGAGAGAGAGAGAGAGAGAGAGAGAG